GCTCCGAGTCCCGATGGGGAGGGGGGTGCGTGGGAGGGATGGGGGTTGTTCAACTTCCCCCCTCCCCAAAAATTTCAGTGGGGGGAAAAAAAAATAATAATACTTTTTTGTTGGTTGTTTTTTTTTTTTTCTTTTACAAGCAAAGGGCTTGCTCTCCCCACATGGAGGGGGTGAGGAAAAAAGGGGGACACCCCCCCACCCCCCCCACACCCCCTTCACCCCGGCTCACATGAAGAAGTCAGCAGCGGGTTTGGGGGCGGCGGATGGGGAGGGTTCCCTCGGGAAGCCCCGGCCGGCTAACTTCTCGTATTTTTCTTTGTACAGATCCCTTTCCTTGGCCAAGCGGGTCACCTCCTGCTTGAGCTGCTCCACCTGGCTCTGGAGTTGACATTTCTCGTTCTCCAAGATGTGCCGCTGCTGGACCCGCTTGTAGCGGCAGGACTGAGCGTAGCCTCGGTTCTTCAAGGTCCTCCTCTTCTGCTTGAGGCGGATCACCTCCTCCTTGCTGAAGCCCCTCAGCTGCCGGTTCAGCTCCCGGACCGACATACTCACCAGCTGATCGTCGGAGAAGCGGTCCTCCAAGCGCAGGTGATGATGATGATGGTGGTGGTGGCCGGCATGGTGATGGGAAGCCGGGGGTAGCTCCTCACCACCGAAAGGCTGAGGTCGGAAAGGCTCGTAACCTTGATGGTGATGATGATGATGGTGAGGGGCACCGATCAACGCTTCCACCGCGTCCTCCGGCGTCAGGTTGAGAGCTTCGGGGTTGAGGTGATGCTGGTAACCCGACATCCAGTACAGCTCCTCCAGCTGCGGTTTGGAGCCCAGGGAAGCGGCGGTGGTGGTCGGGGGACCGGGTGCCGGTTGCCCACCGGGACTGGGAGCGCAGAAACTGGGCGAGGAAGGCACGGAGGAGCAGGGCGTGCTGAGCGGGGTGGAGGAGAGCGAACCGGCGGGCAGACGGTGGCACAGCCGCTCCGCCTCCGCCGGTTCTTTCTTCACCTCGAACTTCATCAGGTCGAAATCGTTCACGTACTCGATGGCGAGGGGGCTGGTGGGCAGCTCCGCGCTCATGGCCAGCTCCGAGGCCATCTCAGTCCATGGAGGGACCGGGGGGTGATTTCCCCCGGGCACCGCCGCTCACCGAGGGTTGAAGGTGGGGAGGGGGGTCCCGCTGGGTTTGGGGGGGGTGGGATTTTTCTCCGATCGGGGCTCCGCTGGATCTGCCTACGGGGCGACCGGCTGCCCCGACGGGGCTTCGCTCTGGGGTTCAGCCCGGCTCCGGGACCCTCCGACGGGGCTCGGTCCGGCTCCGGGACCCTCCGCTCTGGGGTTCAGCAGGGCTCCGCGACCCTCCGACGGGGCTCAGCCGGGCTCCGGGGTTCAGCCCGGCTCCGGGACCCTCCGACGGGGCTCGGTCCGGCTCCGGGACCCTCCGCTCTGGGGTTCAGTCGGGCTGCGGGGTTCAGCCGGTGCTCCGCGACCCTCCGACGGGGTTCAGCAGGGCTCCGGGACCCTCCGACGGGACTCCGCTGTGGGGTTCAGCCGGGCTCCGGGACCCTCCGCTGTGGGGTTCAGCCGGGCTCCGGGATCCTCCGGCTGCGGGGCTCAGCCGGACTCCGGGGTTCAGCAGGGCTCCGGGACCCTCCGACAAGGACTCAGCCCGGCTCCGGGACCCTCCTCTGCGGGTTTCAACCAGGCTCCGGGACCCTCCGAAGAGACTCTGGCTCCGGGCTGCAGGCAGACACCTCCGTCGGGGCTTCGGTCCGGGGCTCCGCACC